AGCGCAATGCATTAGCCTATTCTACACATAAAACAGCATGAGTACGTGAGAATTGCGTAAAGAGAGAGAAAGAGAAATAACAAAAGGACTCGATTTCAAGATACAAAGAACGGATTTCCCGCCAAGAGCTTCGTTCGCATCCTCTCGGACCAAAGATATTGCGTTCTTGGGCTTCGTTCACATCCTGCGGCGGTTAATTGTTATGGTTAATATTATCATTATTATTAGTGAACATTATAACCTCTCCAGAGGAATCGAATCCCGATTGGAGAGGTTATAATGTTCATGATAAAAATGCGGTAATGCATATTCTATCTTTCATTATTATTAGTCTTATTATTGTTGTTATTATTATTATTATTATTATTATTATTATTATTATTATTATTATTATTATTAATGTTGTTGTTGTTGTTATTGTGATCATTCTTTGTATTTCTGACACTCTCATTATTATTATTCATATTATTTATATGTTATTGCTGCTGGTATTATGATTATTATTATCATTATTATTGCTATTATCATTATTATTATTAGTAGTTAGTTAGTAATAGTAATAGTTATGGCTGTTATGGCTGTTATTATTATTATTATTATATTGATAATTATTATTATTATCATTGCTGTTATTAGAATAATAATTATTAGTATTATTTTACTATTATTATCATTATACTTATCATTATTATTATCATTATCATTGTCATTGTTGTTATTTTGATCAAGGCTATCGTCCAGCGAATATCATTAGTAGTTATTTGTTATTTGGTCTTTTTTTTCTTTTGTTTATTATCACTGTTCTTTTCAATCACTAGTATTATGATTGTTAGGCATTTCTCATTATCATCTTATATTAAAACCATGATAATGATCGCCTTTCTATTGTTACTAATGTTTATCATTATCACTATCATCCGCGTCATCACCATCATCATCATCACTATCATCATTATCGTCATCACCATCATCATTATCGTCATCATCACTATCATCATTATCGTCATCACCATCATCATCATCATCACTATCAAATCCCCTATCACTTATCACCATAATTAATAATCATCACCACTTTTTTTTAATCAATACCTTAATCATTTCATTACTGAAGGAAAAAAAAAAACACCATCGTAAAGAAATAAATAAATACTTGCCCAGCTCGAGAAGGCATTAGAGGGGAGATCCATAGTTTAATTATTAATGTGTTTTAATTAAATTCGTCTTTCATTGCATGGAACCTTTTCAGACTGCTCGCTTGCTTTTGAAGGCGGAGTTAAAAGGGAAGGGAGGGAGGAAGGGAAGGAGGAGATAGGAGGGATGGAAGGAGAATAGGGAGGGAGAGAGAGGGGTGGAAGGAGGAGAGAGAGGGAGGGAGGGGTAGGGAGGGAGGAAGGGAAGAGAGGGAGAGAGAGGGGTGGAAGGAGGGAGAGGGAGAGGGAAGGGGAGAGAGAGGGAGGGGTGGAAGGAGGAGAGAGAGAGGGAGGGAGGGAGGAAGGGGAAGGAGGGAGAGAGAGGGAAGGGAGGGAGGGGAGAGAGAGGGAGGGAGGAAGGGAAGGAGGGAGAGAGGAGGAGGGCGGGATGAAAATCGAGAGGAAGTAAGGGAGAGATGAAAGGGGGGAGGGAATACAGGAGAGAGAGAGAGAGAGGAGAGAGAGGAGAGAGAGAGAGAGAGAGAGAGAGAGAGAGTAGAGAGAGAGAGAGAGAGAGAGAGGAGAGAGAGAGAGAGAGAGAGAGAGAATTTCCATATATATAGCTAAACAGATGGAAAGGATTCATACAATGTATATATACAACATCTACATATTTGCGTGGGCCTACCCCTCCACATACCTACTATACACACAAACATAATACTAATTGTAGGTAAATACAAATACTACAAAATGTCATTACTTTCTATTTACTTCCGGCTACAATGGTTCACCAACGTACGTTTAACCCACACACACACACGTACCTTCAAACACAAACAACACAACACAATTACACACATACCACACAGCGCACACGTAACCTTTAACACACACACACACACACACACAACACGCGTACTTTAACACACAAACACACAAACACAGCACACACACACAGGAGCGGAGCACACACACACAACACACAACACAGTTTATAGGTAGTCACTAAATCGTAATCACCACAACACACACATGTATTAATGATCTGCACCATGTATCCCGATCTTGCAAACACACATATGATGGGTGACAGGCATCACATACCTTCAACATCAACAGGTCACACAGTTCCAGTAACACACGACACAGACACAACAAGCACAACACACTTCGCCATACACACACAACACACAACACATAGGTCCACACATGCACACACCCAGGACACTACAATAGTGACACTCACTTACAGGTGTGTGGCGGAGCAGAGATCCTAGGGGACTGTTTGTTGCTTTTCAATTTCATACTCTGTTCCCTCCTCCGCTATGAGCAGATCAATTACTGTAGTTTATTGGCATAGTGATATATTTTTACTCTCGCAGTTCTGGAAATTATTTTTTCGTCATTGTCGGGCTGATATTTAATTGATATACTTCTGACTATGATGACTTGTACTGAAAAATATGACTCGTAGTGTTTACATAATGTGTGTGGGAAGATCGGGCTTTGAAGGTGTATTTGCACTTGAGTTTTTTTTGTCGAAACTTTAAGATTTTTTTTTTTTTTTTTTTTTTTTTTTTTTTTTTTTTTTTTTTTTTGGGGGGAGGGTTGATTTTCAGCGATGCCGTTGATCTTTATTTGCTGCTAAGATTTTTTAATTGGTTTTTTGACGGTTATTATCATCATCGGGCTTATCTCATACATTTGCTTCACAAACATCATCACTATCACGTATATCAACAAATAGCCGATCACTCATCTGACCATGCATTGCAACACTCACGACGTTACCATTCGAACCATGCATCAACACTAATCAGAACCGACCCGACCATCTTTTCTCACCAAGACCACCATCAATTATACCCACCGGCAGCCACACGATCATCATTATGACCACTACCAACCATCATCTGACACTCATCCCGACCATCCCCGATATCTACATTTAATTACTGGTCTCACTATTGCCTAGTTTGTTCTCCCTAATCTATCCAGGTGATTATGGATCATCACGGCGTATATATTCACCGTTTCTCATATGTTGTGTTTTGTAATTGAGTGCTGGACAGAGAGATATTTAAACGTAGTGCTTCCGTTTTCTGTTATTATTATTATTGAATTATCATGATTTGAAATTGCTATTATTATGTTGTTTTATGGCATCTATGGGTTTGGTTGTTGTCGAATAGTTATTGTTTTATCGCATGTCGCGTGTTTATTATCATTTTTTTCATTATTGTTATTTAAGTTTTTATTGTTGAGCTTATATTTGTTTTATTTATTAATGCTTATTATTGCATTATGCTTATTCTTCATCATTATTACTACTGCTAATATCACTATTCTATTATTATTATTATTCATTTATCGTGTTATTGTATTGCTATTAATTATCATCAATCATTATTATTCCATTAATTGTTGCATCTTTTCTTCTTTCCCCCATGTCCTCTCTCTCTCTCTCTCTCTATCTGTTGTTCTCTCGTTCTCTTCTCTCTCTCTCCTCTCATCTCTCTCTCTTCTCTTCTCTCTCTCTCTCTTTCCTTCTCTCTCTCTCTCACTATTCATCTCTCATTCTATCTATTCTCTATCCAACCTCTCTTTCAATATCAAAGGTTTCAAACATCATTTTCTTCTTCTCTTTCTTCTCCTCCTTCTCCGTTCCATCTGATAAGTGTACACGTGACATCATAGGTCCTGAAGCGATAGTGTTACAGTGTATCGCTTCAGCGTGTTGTTGTGTCAGGCGTCGTGTTTATCAGTGGAATATGAATTGTCAGGGAGCATGGTAGATTTTGGGGGGAGGGAGAGGTGGTGGGGGAGGGGGGGAAGTGGAGTGAGAGAGAGAGAGCAGGAGTGGGTAGGAGGTGGTTAAAAAATTGAGGAATATGGGAGCTGGAGAGAGAGAGGGGGGAGGAGGAGAGAGAAGGAGGAGGAGAGAAGAGAGAGAGAGAGAGAGAGAGAGAGAGAGAGAGAGAGAGAGAGAAGAGTAGAAGAGAGAGAGAGAGAAGAGAGGAAGATGGGTGGAGAGAGGGAAGAAACAGAAGAGAAAGAGAGAGAGAAAGAATGAGGTGGGTTGGAGAGAGAAAGAAACAGAGAACAGAAGAGAAAGAGAAGAGAGAGAGACAAACTAGTTAGCGTTGTAATGATCAGTTTTAATGAATTATGTGAGTCCAGTAAGGAAGCAGCGTAAACAAGCAGTCGCGTTTCTAACTGAACTGTAAATAAATCATTAGCTTGTTATTCTCTCTCTCTCTCTCTTCTCTCCTATCCCTTCGTCTCTCTCTCCCCTTCTCTTTCGCATTCTCTTTCTTTCTCTCTTTCACTCTCTCTTTCTCTCCTCTTCTCTCTCTCTCTCTCTCTCTCTCTCTCCTCTCTTCTCTCTCTTCTCTCTCCCTCTCTCTCCTCTCTCTCTCTCTCTCTCTCTCTTCTTTTCAGTATTAACATCAGACAAGAAGAATATCATCAGCAGTCCATTCTCCTTATTATCGTTTATCATGTCTACTCATCGGTTATTATTATTTTTATCATTGTATTGTTTTGGTCATTATTTGATTATTATTATTATTATCGCTCACTCATTCCTGTTACTGTTATTATCAATATTATTCTTATCATTATCATCATGATTAAGATCAATGAAGAATACTAGAAGACAGAGAGAGAGAGAGAGAGAGAGAGAGAGAGAGAGATGAGAGAGAGAGAGAGAGAGAGAGAGAGAGAGAGAGAGAGAGAGAGAGAGAGAGAGAGAGAGAGAATGAGTAAGAGACCGAGACATTAAAGATTATGATGAAAATAAGAAAAAATGATAACTAATCCCTTATCCTCGTTAATTATTTCCTTCTTTGCCGTTCCTCTTAGTGAATAGTGCGAGAGAGAGATAGAGGAAGAGAGAGGGAGGGAAAAGTTAGTGAAATACGGGAGCAAAAATATTAAGGAAGCTTTTAACTGAGAAGTAAACAACAAAAACAAAACGTGTGAAAGATAAACGGCAATAATTAGTGGCAAAGGAGAGGAAAATACGAAGCAAAGAAAGGTTGAGTAAAGACAGAAATAGAAAAGGGGAAAAAGATGAAAAAGAAGCAGTGCCAAAGTAAAGAAAAATAGAGTGAAACAATAAACAGAAAAAAAGGAAATCAAACGAAACACCAACGCCAAAAGAAGGAGAAAGAAAGAAAGAAAAGACAGAAAGAGAAAACGAGGAAAGTAATAACTCGAGAACGGTTCAACAAAACGAGTGAATAAAATCCGCCAAGATGAACTACGGGCTTGTGAAGAACGAGCTGCTTCTGGAGGCGAACGGCGTGGCCCCCGCCGCCCCCTGCTTCGGGGGGCTGCAGCACCCGAGTCAGAGGAGGAGGCGCTCAGGTAGGTCATGGAGGTTTCAAGCGAGGGGGGAGTGGGTTAGGGGTCACCGGAGATGCATGGGAGAGGGAGGGGGGAAGGAGGGGGGAGGGGGGGGCAGGGGGAGAGGGAGTTAGGGGTTCACAGGGAGGTACGGGAGGAGGGAGGGGGGGTGCGGTTAGGGGGTCGGAGGTGCAGGGAGAGGGAGGGGGAGGAGGGGGTGGAGAGGGGTTAGGGGTCAGGGGAGGTTGCAGGGAAGGTGGGGAGCGGGGTTGGGTTTTGTCAGGGGACTGAGGTGTGGTTTGTGAAGTGTCTGGCATGGGCGTGGGCGGTGGATTAGTGCGCTTGGTTTGGGTCTGGTTGTGGTTCGATCGGTGGCTTGGTCCTGTGGGGGGTTTGTGGCTTCTCGATCGTTCTAAACCCTTATTTTCGGCTTCATTTGCGTTGCTCTCTTTCTCTTGGGATCTCTGTCTCTCCTCTCTCTCCTCTTTTTCTTTTCCTTTCCCTCTTTCGCTCCTCCCCGCTTTCTTCTCTTTCTCCCCCCCCCTCTCTTTCTCTCTCTTCTCCTCTTCTCTCTCTTCTCTCTCTCTCTCTCTCTCTCTCTCTCTCTCTCTCTCTCTCTCTCTCTCTCTCTCTCTCTCTTCTCTTTCCATCTGTCAATCAATTCATTTATCTGTATGTGTTTTTGTGCACACACACACATATATATGTTATATATGTATATATATATATATATATATATATAAGTATATGTATGTATATATGTATATTGTACATATATACATATAAGTATATATATACATCATATACATACACATATGTTATTTAATGTATATACACATTTATATATAAATGTGTATATATATATATATATATATATATATATATGTATATGTTGTATATATATGTATATATATATATTATTTATGTATGTATGTATGTATGTATATATATATATATATATATATATATATTGCATATACATATATATGTATATATATATATACATACATATATGTATATATAAATATATATTATTATATATATATATATATATGTATGTATATAGTATACATATATATGTATATATACATATGTATATATACATAATATACATATATATATATATATATATATATATATATATATATATGTATGTATATAAATTTACATACATACATTTAGAGAAGTGGACACGGCCCCCAGACGACGAGAGGCAGAGAGCGAAAGGGAGTGAGACACAAAGTGATTGCTCATAATGAGTTTCCTCCATTATGATAATTGAGTCCTTTATGTGCAGCGAATGTGCGATGTGTTGGTCCAATAGTTTTCGATGGCGACTAGGAATAGAACCTTGATAATAGTAATACTGGTAATCGTCAAAATTTAGTTATTGTAAGAATGCTAAAAATAACGATTAGCAGTGGGAATGGTGTTGATGATTGGGATTTTGATGTTAATTGGCATGGTGATGGTGATGATGATGGTGATGGGTGATGATGTGTTTGGTGATGATGATGATGATGATGATGATGATGGGTGATGGTGATGGTGATGGTGATGATGACGATGATGATGAGGGGGTGTCACACTAGCACTATTTCCGTGGTTCTTTCACGTTTCCGTAGTTTTTTTCTTGCTACCGCTGGCATAATGGTCGAATGCGATAATTTCCAGTCAAACGATAATTGCTTTCGCTGGCAATTTTTTTTTTTTTTCAAATCATAAGCTATAATACATACCCGTTATAGTAATAAATAGTAATAAAACGATTCAAAAAGACAGTTTAGATTGTAAATAATATTTTAAAATTAGCAAAATTCTCTCTGGTATTTAATAAAAACAGATACAAGTTGGTAACTAGCTGCTCGCCTGTTTGTTTACATTTGTGTCCACGTTCCCGTCAGCTGACTAGATGAAAGCAGCGAGACGTCGGTGTTATTTTGCATTATACATTCGCTGTTTCGCATTAATTCGTCGCCACATAGCCAGAATAACGTCCATCATCGCCAGAGCCTGTGCGGGGGTTGGAGCCATCTTGCTGTGTTTAAAATTTTCGTCGGACTGTTTCCGTGGTTCTCATCGCCAGAGTGACGGCGCGCGCCAAAATGACCACGTGGTGCCAACGGTCTCAGGAGTTTGCAGTTTCAATGATGGTAAATGGTTTAAAAAATAAAGATGATAATTTAGATACTGGTGATATCAATACTTGATGCAGTATTAAACTCTAGGTAATCATTATTATCATCTTATTATCATTGTTATGTGTGCTCGTGTTATATAGATCTATGTGTGTGTGTGTTGTGTGTGTGTGTGTGTGTGTGTGTGTGTGTGTGTGTGTGTGTGGTGTTTTGTATGTGTGAATGCATGTATTATATATATATATATATATATATATATATATATATATATATAATATATATATATATATATATAATGCATCCGCACACTCATATATCTATCTATCAGATATATGTTGGTGTATCTTTCTCTCTATCAAATTAACATTTGAAACAGACCGCTGGACGGACAGGGAGGCAGACAGACAGACAGCCAGACAGACACAGTCCCTGAAATAGCCACCCGAGAGATGCTTTAAAGCCGTCTTCCATCCGTACTCACACAGCTATAGCCTCTCCCACGCGCGGGGGATGATACACAGTAGAACACTTTAATTATCTCCCTCTGTTCATTCATCTTCTTTCCGCTGTGCCTCTGTGTTTTCTTTTATTCTGTCTTGAGTTTGTCTGTCCGTTTCTCTGTCTCTCTCTCTCTCTCTCTCTCTCTCTCTCTCTCTCTCTCTCTCTCTCTCTCTCTCTCTCTCTCTCTCTCTCTCTCTCCTCTCTCTCTCTCTCTCTCTCCCTTCCCTCTCCCCTCTCCTCTCCCTCTCCCTCTCCCTCATCCCTCTCCTCTCCTCCCCTCTCCTCTCCACTCCCACTCCACTCCCACTCCCACTCCCACTCCCATCCCACTCCCACTCCCACTCCTCTCCTCTCCCTCTCCCTCTCTCTCCTCCCTCTCATCAACAAAATCCACAAACAGTACAAACAAATCAAAGATATAAACCACAAAAATCTGGATATGACAAGAACAAAACAAACAAACAGAGCCAGACGACCGTGTGTCTCCATAAGGGGTCATCCCGCGCGGCCTCCCTCCCAGCTGATTAATTCGATGACACGTGACTCCGCGAAGGGCCATTGTGTTCTGATGTTAATGTTTTATTTTCTCTCTCTTTTTTGTTCGTTGGGGGGGGGCTGAAGAGGCGGGGAGGCGGGGGGGTGGGTGATTTTGGAGGTGAAGGCCGGGTCGATGTAGGCTGGCCTGGTTTCTTTTGCTTGGTTTAGTTTATTTTGTTTTTTTTGTGGGGGCTGTTGGTTTTGTTTTTTCCCTCTCTTTTAATCCTTTCTATTTCCCTTTCTTTCTCTTCTCTCTCTCTCTCTCTCTCTCTCTCTCTCTCTCTCTCTCTCTCTCTCTCTCTCTCTCTCTCTCTCTCCTCTCTCTCTCTCTCCCTCTCCTCTCCTCTCCCTCTCCCCTCCCTCTCCTCTCCCTCTCCCTCTCCCTCTCCATCTCCCTCTCTTCACCTGCGGGAATTATCCCTCGGAGCTAAATCTTCTTACAATATTTTTTGTCTCTATTTCCTAAGGAATCAAAACCTCACGTATATTTCCCCTTTAAGTTTTGTCCTCAGTTTATTTATGTTTATTTATTTATTCATTTATTTATTTTATTTATTTTTATTTTTTCAATATAACACGAGTGCGAGAAATACAGAGATAAGGCGAGGGTCACTTGGCTCCCTTCCTGATCTGGGAAGTCATCCTCCTCTTCCTGCTCCTCATCCTTGCCCTCCTTCATTCCCTCCCACTCTCCTTCCTTTCAGAACCTCCCTCCCCCCTCCCCCCCCCTCCCTCCCTCCTCCCCTACACCTTATATCCTGCTTCTCCGCTTTATAGTAATCTTCAAACGCTTCCCTACCCCCCCCTCCCCCTCCCCCTCCCCCCCACCCCCACCTTTCTACGAAGAATAAACTGTGTTGAACAATCTTGAACTCTGTGTCGTGTTCGCCTGTTTAATCCTCATCGCGCAGGAAGAGGGAAAGAGAGGAGGGGAGGGGAATGGGGAAGAGGTGAGGAAGAGGAAGAAGAAGAGAGGGAGGGGGAGGGGGTGGGAAAGAGTGAGGAAAAGGAAGAAGGAAGAGAGGGAAATGAGAAGAGGAAAGGGAAGAGAGGAGGGGGGAGGGAAGGGTGAGGAAGAAGAAGAGAGGGAAATGAGAAAGGAATAAGTAAGAGGAATAGGAAAGAGAGGAGAGGGAGGGTAAACGGGAAGGGATGAGGGAGAGGAAGAGGGGAGTGGGGGGAGAGGAAGAGGAAGGGAAAGAGAGGGAAGATGAGGAAGGGTGAGAGAGGGATAGTAGGGAAGAGAAGAAGAGGAAAGGGAAGAAAGGTGGAGGAGAGAGAAGGACGTGAGAAGTGCAAGAGGGAGTAGAGGAGAAAGGAGGCAAAAGGGAGAAGAAGAAGACAGAGAAGCCGCAGGAGGGGAGGCAGGTGCGTCAAAGCTGGATCTGGAGTAACCTGGAGAGCGGACGTGAGCTGAGCAGTGGATTAGGACCTCGGGTGGGAGTAGATATCGTAATTAATATGTATATATGCGTGGATGGGTGTCGGAGAGAGAGAGGGGGGAGGGGAGAAAAATGAGAAAGGAAGAGAGAAAGAGAGAGAGACAGAGACAGAGAGAGAGGAGGGGAGAGGGAGGGAGGGAGGGAGAGAAAGGAAGGGAGAAGGAAGGAGAGGGAGAGAAGGAAGGAGAGGGAGAGAAGGAAGGAGAGGGAGAGAAGGAAGGAGAGGGAGAGAAGGAAGGAGAGGAGAAAGAAGAAGGAGAGGGAGAGAGGGAAGGAGGGGAGGAAGGAAGGAGAGGAGAGAAGAAGGAGAGGGAGAGAAAGGAAGGAGAGGGAGAGAGGAAGGAGGGAGAGAAGAAGGAGAGGGAGAGAAGGAAGGAGAGGAGGGAGAGAGGGAGAGAGAACC